GCTGGCCCCCCGCCGGCTGCAGTCGGTATCCCTAAACCCGACAGCGCCTCGATCAAACATACTGTTCCAGTCCGTACTCTTAACGTTAACCAGCTACGTTCGATTGTTTTCCCGACAACCAACTTTTCCTTCGTATTCTATTTTTTGCGCCACTCTTCTATCAGGTATCCGACTACGCTTCCGACCGGTAGCCGCGTAACGCCGTCACCGAGACGACGATCGTTTCACGCGGCCAACGATCGGAAACGGCTACCGTTTCGCTTTACTTCCAGACCAGCACTGTCCATGTCGAATCGACAACCGTCCGAAATTCTAAACAACTCGAGGGGATCGTAACGGACAGCGCTGATTTAGATCCTAAACTCGCGCGAATTCGCAAAATCGTTCGTTCGAAAGAGAAATGGGCACGAACGTGCCTGTGCGGCCAGCCCATGTGTCGGCATCGTTTGCGTCTACTCTACCTTAGTGGCCAATCGCTAAACTCTGCGTCGATCAAGCGCGAAAACTTTCGAGTCCACGGGCTGTCGCAGGTGTCCGTGCCCACCTTGCTACTTGCTGCCCATGCTTGGCTTAGGATAATCGACTAGTAAGTAGTGGTTACTGCTCGAAACTTTCGCGCGTCTTCTTACGTAGACACGATACTCGTATACTAATTTCGACTATAAACGAGAGTATCGTTCCCGACGGGAGACGAGAGAGACCAGAGAGAAAGAAAGAGAGAGAGACATCGGGAAAGTTCGAACAGTACGAAGCCGGACCGCGAAAGCCTAAAATCACTCATTCAGAATCGTAGTTAAATTTGCGTCCAGTCCGCTATGCGAGAAAAGAGATACCGCGTACTTAGGTATATATATATATATATATATTTATATTTATATACACACACACACACATATATATATATATACATATATATATACCCGTAATTGAGCAATTAACATTACCTAGTCTTTCTAAACGTTCCCTTTCCAACTGACTCGGACCAGGTGGAGCTCCGTAAAGACTAAATTGATGCAAAGCTTGAGGCGGTCCCGAGGGTCCTGGCGCGAGTCCCGCAGCCGCGTAACGCCGATGTATCTCCAGCCAATGAGGATCCACCGGTGCCGGCATCGGTCTAGGTGTTCCTTTCAACAGTTCTTCCTTCAATCGATCGTTCAATTCTCTTTCTCGCAGCTCTCGGATTTCCCGTTCTCTTTTCTCGCGTTCCAGATGTTCCAGTTCCAGACGTTCGCGCGCCGCAGGGCTGTACATATAGTGCAGCATCGGATCCGGCGGTGCCGGATGCCTAGCGGGCGAGAACGCCGCGTGCGGCCGAGCGTATTCGGACAATTGTCTCAAGGCAGGCGTGTCGGCATACGACCCTGGCCTCGCCGCGTACCTATCGTACGGAGACACCACTGGTTCGAGCGGTCCCCGGCTCGGTGGCTTACAAGCTTCCGGTTGCTTCTCCGGAGTCGTCATTTTCCTGGCTTGCTGCGCCGCCGCTCTGTCGCGTTCCTCCCTTTCTCTTTCCGCTTGTTTCCTCGATCTTTCCTCTCGTTTTCGCGCCAGCTTCGAATCCGGAACAGGCTTGAACATCAAATCTGTCCTGGTGCAAGAATTATTTTCACCCCGATTCCAATGTCGCAGGAAAATAGCAGACTGCGACCTATGACATTCCGAGTCTTCGATTCTCGGTTCCGGGGACGGACCTCGTGGACTCGCCGGCTCCTCTTGCTCCTGCTCCACCAACTCGGGCTCTATCTTCGGCTCCTGAACGACCGACGGTTGCGCCTGAGGTGGTCTATGATGATGATGCGACGAACTACTGGACGTCAAACAAGCAGCGGACACCAACGATGGCTTGCGTTGAGCGTTGTGAGAACTATGCGACGACGAATGACTATGGGAACTATGCGACGAGATCGTTAATAATTTATCGTGGTGCAACGCCGTCGCTTGATGCATCGTGGAAGAGTGATGATGCGTGGCGATCAGATTTTCTCCTTCTTCTCTGGTCGTCACGCTCGAGCTTGTACTCGAATGATGCGCCGTCATCATAGTTGTACCTTCTTGACTCCTTTGCGGGGACGGCGGAGGAATAGCGTGAGGTACCGGGCCGTAAGGATACGGCGGAAACGAAGGATATCCCCCGACCGGAGCGTATCCTGGATAAGCGTGCGGATGATACGGATGCATGGCAGTGAACAACGAATGATGCATTAACGGATGATGAGGATGGAACGGATGGGCCATGTGCGGACTCGGTTGTTGTGCCGGATGCATCACGGGTTGAGGAATAGACGTAGGCGGAGGTGGAAGAGACGGCGTTGGGGACGCGGTCACCGATTGCATCTGAGGAACTGGCTGGCTACTCGGCATCGAGTGTTTGCTAGGTGTCGGTGGCTTGCTCGAACTATCCGGATCCTTCTTAATGTTCTCTAAACTCGGACCAGGGAAGCCGGACTGGAAACCAGGAACTTTCACCTCTTTCAGGCTCTGAAGCGGATCCGGTTCGGGCGGAATGATTTCCTGCTTGATCTTCAAATTCTGTGGCTCCATCGGGGGCGTGCCAGCCAAATTGTACATGGAGGATGGTTTCTCCATCGATAACATTCCGCTCGGTTGAATCGGTTGAAAGAGATTGTTTGGCTCGTTCCTCTCCGGCTCGTTATTTTCTGCGCGTTCCGAAAGTCTTTCGGGTATCCTGTCCGGTATTCTGTCCGGTATCCTACCGTCTCTTATCCGTTCCGTCGATAATCTGTCGTCCGAAATTCGTTCGGACATCCTATTCTCGGAAGACATCACGGTCAAACCAAGAGGTTGCGGTGAACTCGGCATCTGAGGCATTTGAGCGATGTTTGTCGGTATGCTTTGCGAAATATTCAGATTTAACGGTGGTCCCGGTATGCTTTGGGGCATATTCTGCGCGCTCGACAAATTTTCACCGTGACCTCGAAGGTTCTGCGTTGGTCCCATATTTTGCGTATTCGACATACTCTGCGGTATGCTCGTCGGCATTTGCATGCTCTGCGACAAGTTCTGCGGCACGTTTTGTACGGGAGGAACGTTCGATGCGTATTGCATATTAAGCGGCAATCCTTGGTGCGTGGGAGACATGATCTGCGAATTCTGTACACTTTGCGAACCAGCGGAAGCTGTACAAATACCGCTATTCTGAATCGTCTGCGACAAATTACGTGGCATATTCTGATTCATCTCGTTCATGTTCAACGACTGCGACGTAGTCAAGTTCAATTGCTGTTCGGGTTCTTTCATATCTTCGTTCGAGGGGGACATGGCTGGTTCTATCGGCATAGGTTCCAACTTCAGAGGTTGATTCATGGCTAAAGGTACATCTTCTATTTGATCCTTCGTTTCCAACGGTTCCTCCAACAACGGTTTCTTTTCCAACGCGTGAATAACAGGAACAGATATGGGTAAAGTTTGTATCGGTGCTGGCACGGGGGTTGAAACAGGCGTTGGTTCGGAAGGCTCTTCCGGCGTGGTTACGGCCGGACTCACTGGCTCCTCGGTTGGCACTGTAACTGGAGTGGGTTGATTCTCGTTCGTATCGCCTTCTCCTTCTCTCTCAGGTTCGTCCATCAGAGAGTTGCTGTCGGTTGTGAGCGACTCCGAAGGGCTCTCAGGACGTTGTTCGCCAGGACGTTTTCGTTTCTGAGACTCTTTATCCTCGTCTACCTCGTCGGCTGGCGGCCGCTTTTGACCTTTCTTCGGTGTTTCTGGCTTACTGGAAGATTTTTTCTTGCTTTTATCCGGCGTTTGTTGTTGTTGTTGCTGCTGCTGCTGCTGCTGTTGTTGTTGTTGTTGTTGTTGTTGCTGCTGCTGCTGCTGCTGCTGTTGCTTCTCTTGATCGGGGGTATCCGTTCCACCTGTACGTCGGGGTCTCGCGGGTCTAGGCGTCTCCTTAGCCTTGTTTCGTGTACGCATTCTCCCTGGGCTATCTGGTGATTCCGCAGGCACAGGGCGGAACAGATACGGAGGAGCAGGCGGCAGTTCCCCGGTCTTCTTCAAATGTGTTCTGCATTCCGTACAAAGCAATAACCTATCCTTGCCGGCTACCTGATAATCCTTCGAATTCGTCGAGAAACAGTGCTGACACGAATGCGTTGCTCCGTTAGTGTTCGTATCCCTCGAATCACTATCCTCTTCCGAATTATCGTCCTCTGTCACAGAACTAATTTCCCCGCCAGGATTATTGCTAGCGGGTGTTCCAACAGGTACAGTTTCGGGCTCCGAAATAGGTTCCTTTTGATTAACGCTAGCTGCCGGAGTATCTTTCGGCGGAGTTGGAATCTCTTCTTTGGGAGTACCGGCTCGGGAGTTGCGCGTATTGCGAATTCTTCTAAGGGAACCCTGACGTCGTCTTCGATGAGGTCGATTATTATTCGCCCCTGGCGTCTTCTTCCATAAATAGTAGAATTCGACCAACTCCGGCTAAAAAACGAAAGAGTAAACTTGTAAACGAATAAACGACAAGAGCTCTACGATCGCTTCTATTCTTCGAATCTGATCCTACTCGCGCATTAATATATCAGTTACCGTGTCTTTATGCGGCAAAAGATCCTTTCTGATCCTCGAAAAATTCTTTCCAAATTGTCGAAGTCCTTTGACGAAGCGTTTCTACGGGGGGCAGATCGACGGCCAATTAATCGTTACAGTCTGACACACCTTTCCTTTTAACTTCTAACTTAAAATCATGCCCAACGATAGACACACCCGACATCAGCTTTATTTTCCCGTTTAATCGTTGCTACTTACAGTTTCCTCTTCGGACCATTTCTTATCGATGCCTTTAGGTACGGGACATTTAACCAGCGCCTGCAGTGCTCTTCCTGGATCATAGCCAGAGTCGTGCAAGATGTCCAGAGCATTGATGGTTGTATCGTCACGGGAAGCAGCCACACAACCGTCATCCGGGGATCCTCCATCACACATGCCAGCAAATGCAGCCATAGATCGTGCTGCTCTTAAGTACATCAGAAGATCCCCGTCCAATGCCATAGCTGGAATCCATCTTAGCTCTTCTCGTTCTTTAGAAAACTCTGGATCAGGAAGCAGCTCTCCAGGAGGTATACCCGGCCGATACTCAGGCAAACGGGCCTGACAAGAAACCAATTCCTGTACCCAAAATTCGGGATTGTGCGTGGTTAGCACCAATGCCAAAGCGAGTTAGTTGTACGCACCTAGAACTCCGGCTTGTTTTTTTCGAAACTACACGAGCCAGTATCATTTTTTTTTTTTTTTCCATTCTGTCCCTCTTTGTTACGTTAACTGGTACAACGAGTAACGTGAGTACCGAATGTTTTGTGCACAAACTAATCACCATAAATGCAAGCACGAGAAAACGAGACAATTATTTACCTTTCTTTTTTCCTTTTTCCTTTTCCTTTTTAAATAACACGGTGATCGTTACGTTTACAAATGTTGCCAATTATGCGTCCAACGGTCAGAGTTACGTTCACGGCCAAAGCTGAATATAAATAATGTACGGGAACAGAAAGCACATTCGCGTGAGATTTTTCTTTTGCCGAATGGATCGAAACACGAACGAAGGAAACAATAAAACCAAATACGATTTCACAAATAATTATGACGATGTAACGCAACACGCGACAACACGGTTAACTTATGGAAAAGATGATCAAATAAAATAATTATTCTAATATAATCTAAATTCGAAGATAATAAAATCTTCGTAAATTCTTTCTTTCTCGCTGCAATGTTTCGCTTGCGACATTTTATATTTATAGATGGTTCAAGTAACCAATGGGTTATTATATAAAGTAGAATAACTTATCATTTCACCGTGACTAAAAACCACTGTAAATATAAAACTATATCTTACGCTATGTAATACTATCCTATATGGCGTTATTAGGATGCTTCATCATAATAACTTGCATCATAATTAGGGTCTTCCAGCAATTGGAACAGTCTGTGGGATGATAGTACTTCGGTGTTAGGTATATATCGTTAAGTAAATAAAAATCGTTATTATTATTATCGCTTATATATATTATCGTAACTTTATTAAAAAATAACTATCATTGTTATTTGAACCATCGACATACAACAAAGCTGTATGAGGAATAGGTAGGTACCGGTGACTCAATGTTTACCATTAAAATTTCTTTGTTAACGTATAGAAATGCAAATGAATATCAAAGTTCTAACCGCATAATAAAAACTATACATATAAACTTCAAGCGCTAATAAAAACACCGGTATCCAGAGTACTATGAACCTTTAACTAATCACACGTCATGCATATTTTTATTAATTCCTAAATAAAATAACCGCGTTTCATAGCGTAATAAACCATTAAGGGTCTGTTAATATCCAGAAATTAACAGAGCGTTTAAATATCAGTCTAAACCAAATTTTACTCTAATAAATATTCCTCTATTTTTCCATTATTTCATTCTTATACGACACAATAATAGCACGCGCGTAAACATCACTCTCTATAACACGAATTCCCAAGTTTTTACCTTTAGAAACTACTTTGATAACGTTCGAACAACATACACACTTACTCAACGCTGTAAGGTTACGTGGAAATTACTCAAAAGACGTAGCGTTAATCTCGCTTATGTTCGAAAGAAAAGACAAGTATACGAATTTAAATCGATTACCATTGAAAATATTAGGTATTGTGAAGAAAATGATGTCACAATTACCTGGTGCTTCAATGATCATATTTTTATCTTAATCTATACACTCATAATACATAATTTAAGAGAACAAGCCTTGAGTTAGGTACAATGTGCAATATAGCTAAGTAGCATAAAATGTTTTCAAGGTATATGGCAAACCTGGTGCGAAGGGCCAACCCGAATCTCGCCCTGGGTGCCGGCAGACATCTCCTCCTCCTCCGAAGCTCCACCGTCTTTCTCCAGTGTTTCAAGCGGCTTCTATCTTGGATTTTCAGTAAATTCCTATCATCCACCCCCTGAACTATATAGTTATTCTATCAGTATATTTGTTAAACTTTTTTAAGAAAAAGTACTGCTAACATGCTTCCTTTTTTTTAAACGACCCTTTTTCTATAATGATGTCAGTTATTATGGTATTGTCATTCAAAACATATAAATTCTTTCGTTTAAATTAATATTTTATCAATATTTTACTCGAAATAAAATAATTATTAATGCTATTACATATTGAACGAAGTAGTTATTCTTAATTAAATATTTTCTTTGAAGCACCTTTCTTTGTGTACCTTATATCACATATGTATACATACATACATATATATATATATATGTATGTATGTATGTATGTATGTATGTATCATATATTTATATATATTTTATACATTTTGCTTAAACAAAATTAAAATATTTCCAAGTTATAACACACTGAAAGTATGAAATGTGTACTTTGAAAACTAGACACGTTAATTTATTTGATCAAAAACAGATTTATGTGACACAGATGAAATTAACAAAAGCACATGTAAACAAATCCTGAAAAGTTAGTTCTGATTCAATTTGCATAATCATTCGATAAAAATCATTTGGTTAGGCTTCGAAAGAAAAATCATACAATTTATGAAACGAGTTTAATATCCGTATAATAACCTATCACGTTGGTAAATACATATTTCTACTTTCTTGAAGTGGTCTTGAGTCACGGTGAAAGCGGTAGATAGTACAAATGAGTTTTACTTAAATCGAAAGACTTTTTCGTCATCGTAACGCAATTAAGGCATGCCAAGGAGTGATGGACATCGTAAAAATTTTGATTGACTCATCGACGTGCAATGCGAAGATTCAGAAAAAAAAAAACCAGCTATTTACACAATTTCGTCATGTATGCGGAACACGTAAAAGAAATATATGCATAATAAATTTCGAGCCGCAACTCGGTTACAACATTGTTCCGATACACCGTGAATGATTCTCTTACACTAAAATTTTTCATCCCGTCAGACACCTCGCCTTGGCGAAATTCCGTGGAGCCGTTAAAATACAGTGGAAAGCCATAAAATTTCAAGGCAAACTCACCCGTGATAAATGTTTCAGCGATGTGTTAGCATTGTTCCTCCCAATGCGAATCGTTCCCGCGTGTACGCATCACGCACAAACTCAATTCCACTAACGAATAACTGATCAAAATTTAATATTTCACTATGAATTAACCATCTAATATTACAGAAATGTCTTACACAAATTAGTAGCCACAACACCCAAACGCAGCCATCTTGTACTACGTTTTGTTTCCTTTTTCTTCTGTGGGGGTGCGTTCCGATTCCACTCATTCCCTCGTTTCTTTCCGTTAATGGATACTTAGCGGTCATTTCAAAATTCAATTTTTATACCCGTTTCGTGCTCGTATTCTATCCTTTCGAACATTTAATGGCTTTAAATTTACAAACTAAAATCCTCGGTATTAGTACGATATCCTCAATTTTTTTTCTATCTTTTGTAATGTAATCTTTAAGCTTTCTTTTAACTTGTTATTAATTGATCACTATGTAGCGTACATTAGACACGAAATGCTCTTTCTTTATCAACATACAGTATGTAGAATACGTAATGCGTACTTACATCTATGGCGATATTGCTTCGTACGCTTCCACATTTTGCACGGTCGGCTTCTGAAGGCTTATCAGTTTTACGATCAAACGTACGGCAAAGCGTAAATATGGCGAAAAAATCTGCAATCTTATTAATAGCTGACGGCTCCGAAGAAATGGAAGCTGTGATAACCGCAGATATTTTGCGAAGAGCTGGGGTAACTTTTGTTTTTAAACATGTTAACCTTAAATTTATCTTAAGTTTACCTAATTGTTATGAATTATTCTTAGGTTCAAGTTACCATTGCTGCTATTACCGACACTTTATGCATCAAATGCAGTAGAGATGTTAAAATTTGTGTCGATGCAAAATTGCAAGATATAGCCGACCAAACATACGACGCCGTAGTATTGCCCGGTGGTCTTGGTGGTTCAAAAGCTTTTTGCGCGGTAAATAAACTTAAATATTTTTACACGATACACTAATCATAGAAAAATAAGAAAATTCATTTAATTATAACGTAGTCGGCAGAAGTAGGAAAGCTGTTGCAGAGACAAGAGAAAGAGAATAGAATTATTGCTGCTATTTGTGCTGCACCAACTGCGTTGAAAGCGCATGGAATTGCTAAAGGGAAACAAGTTACGTCTTATCCTTCGATGAAAGATGAATTAAAAGACGAATATAAGTATTTGGAAGATAAAGTTGTAATTGATGGTATACATGAATTTTAGAATGGAAGATTTATGAAAGAACAGTGTACTTTCAAAGGCACATTTATGGTAACATATATATATATATTCGTTCCAGGTAATCTGATAACCAGCAGAGGTCCAGCTACCGCATTTGCTTTTGGTTTAGCTATCGTGCAGAAATTACACGATAAAGATACGGCGGATAACGTAGCAAAAGGAATGTTGTATTCTGAGTGAAAAATCCAGTTAAAATACCATTGTACCATTGTATTTGTAACATATATATATATATATTTATATTTATATTTAACGAATAAATATTATGCATGATGCAAAATTATTCTTGTTAACTCATTTCTTAAATCTCTTTCGCCGCTCGAAATTCAAAATACCCGCTTCCATTATGGAGTCTATAAACGTTACATTTTTTGACGCATACCATCTTCCTCTTTGATGGTTAATGGTCATAAATTTGACACTTTGAGAATATTTCTTTATTTACTTACAATATGATCTTGCGAATATTGTACGTATTGTTTAAAATAAAAGTAAATATTTAGGAGTTATTATTGTAAAAATGTTCGAAAGCGATGACTGGGATCTCGATCAGGTAAACTTCGGACGTATACTATATGTGTATATATATATATATATATATATATATAACTCATGAAAAACATAATTTCTTAATACATATTTTTAGGACTTTTTGAAAGATATAGACGATAAAGCAGTGAAATTTTATTCTCAATCCGATAATCAAGAAACCGAGTCGAAAAGACGTAAAATAGAAATTAGTCATAATTCTATTCTATCTGCCAATGACGTTGAGTCGCATGACAAGGAGATCACAGATAAAAGGAAAACTAAATACGAAGGAAACAAAGAATCAAGGAAGAATTTAGTTCTTGGTATACTTAATAAGAATCTGTTACACGAGAATGTTTCTCAGGTTAAAATCAAACACGATTCAAAACAGTTTCCTGACGATACTCCATTAAAATTACATTCTGATCGTATACAGAATCATGAGGGTAATCGATCGACTAGAAAAAACTTGGTACTTGGAATACTGGCAAACAAAAATATTCAAGATAAAACTGTAAAAAATAATATAAAAAGCACAGATTCACGAAAAGGCGAAGCAAAGCTTAAAAACGATATCGACATAAATATAACTCAGGGATCCAGAGCATCCGGCATTAGTGGAACGAGATGCCAGATTTCTAAAAATAATTTAATGGACAATTCAAGAAAGGAATCGTTTTGTAACGTAACAAAATGTAAAAATGACGCTATCAGAAATACTTCATCCGTTACTAAGCACCTACAGAATCAATTAGAATCGAATCAGAAGATGACATTGGTCAGAAAATTTCCTGGACCCGCTGGTCTGTTGCCAGACAATATAGATGCCAATATTCCTCCTATTTCGTATTTAAATAGTTTAGAAGAAAAGGAGCAAACCAACAAAGAAAATAAATCTAATAAATTACCCGATTATTGTTCTCAAAATACGAAAAACTTGTTTACAGAAGGTGCTTGGCAGTTAATGTTGGATGACTTGCCGTATAATTTTTTAAAAGGCTATGAAATTGCAATTGTTAAACAAATGGCAAGTACAAAGGGTTGTAATAGTACGAAAGTGAAATTTTTGGCAGGGATAATCGAACGTATAGATCATAGCCACGAGAATCCTCCTATTGTTCTAAGAGATTTCACGGACAATATTCAAGGAATTGTTCACAGGGATATACCGCTTAAATATCCTGGTTTATTGGAACCAAATGTCGTTGTATTATTACACGATGTAGGATTATTAAAAATTTCTAGCACTTTTGTTTCGAACAAATATCAAATTTTGATCTCGCCATCAAGTTTATTGGGAATTTATACTAACAAGGGTGAGATAGAACGTACGCGTCACTTGTCGACAGTTTTAGAAAACATTTCAAAGGAAGAAAGAGAAAAAGAATGGAACGAAAACGGAGAGCGTATATTTACGAAAGAATCGGAAGCACGTTCATCGAAATCTGACTTTCAATTTAAAACAAAAGCCAGCGGCAGTATTCAAGATTCGGAACATTCTAAGTACAGTAGGAAAGATATTGGGAACGAAGGCGTTGACGCGAATTTCAGCGAAAGAGCTGGAAATGAAAAGGAATCAACGAATTTCGATATCGATCTTTCGTTTTCAGTTTCTTTCGGTAAAATTACGAATTCACAAAATCAGAATAATTTTGCTAGTTCAACGCTTAAAAATCGTCTAAATAAAGAAAGCAAAGAACAGAAGTTTAATTCATTGGTAGAAAAACGAAAAGAAAATATATGCGACGATGATAAAGAGAGGGCCGCAAATTTGTTAAAATCATTGAAAAGATTTACTCCGAACGTAAATGAAAAAGCACGTTTCTCCTTTAGTTTAGAAGATGAACAAGTCGAAGGAAAAACATTGCACGATAGATTTTCCGAGCAAATGGATATCGATGATTGCGGCGTAAGTAGTTCGCAAGGAAAAGTAGAAAAAGTAGAAGACGTTTGTTCGGTTGTTGGTAAGAAAACAGAAAGTCTTCGGTCGAATAGTGTAAGGTCGAAATTATTACAGTTTAAAAATCCAGAGACATTAAATTCGAAAGAAAAGAATCTGTTTAACAACGTATCCTGTAATGCCGAAAACGATTCGGACGATGAAATGTTATCTCAACTGGATATGGATACCATTTTCAGTAATTACAATAAAGAAACTTAATAACATGAAATTCTATCGCGAAATTTAGAGCGTAATATTTAAGCGATAATAAAATACCTGTATATATTAATTATGTATTTCGATTTTTATATATAAAATATAAATAAAATAATAAATATATTTGTTGAAAACGTTGATAATTAAAAGGAAAGATATTATTTTCGAAACGTAGATCAGGCAATTAGTCGTTGATTAATTAGTTTCGAATTATCTTCGCGAATAACGAGAATCATTAGATTTCCGTTTAATTTTGTTTGCTAATAGACTCTTCGAACACGATTCGAAAGACTAGTTACATCAGCGTGATTATGGAATAATTTAAGAAGCTATTACAGATACAATTACATTGAGCGATTATAAAATCAGTGAAAATAAAGTACATAGCGTAGCTAGTAAAATAAAATAGAAAAGATAAAGAAATTTTGCGGTCGATTCTCGAAGTGATCCGAAGATAGAGATTTTATTAGCAATGATCTCAATTTCGTTGACATTAACCTGGATATCATCCCTCGACGATCAGGAACGCGCGGTGGTCGATGATCCAGAATCCATGATAGGTACGATCTCGGGCGTACGGTGTGCGTACGCGGGTACGCCAATGAAAATCTATTGAATCAACCTTGATGTACCCTGATTATCCGATGTACATCTAGGTATACGATCGCGCGATTATCAAGTACAATTTACTGGCATTACTTGCACGAGACAGACTTTTGTTTTATAATAAAATCACAGGTTACGCGCAAGAATCCTGGTGAAAACGGACGAATGAAGATATTTCGGTCGATTGGATCTAATAGAACTTGGACGAAAAGTTATTATAATCGTTTCTACGAGTAATTCAGTTTCCGACTTATACGACTCGTAGATCTTAATTGATATTTAGCGAGAAAATTAATATGTAGATACGCGTGTATCTTAGAATCGGTAAGCCGATAAATGATCATTACGATCTATTTTTCCATCGCGTTTTATCGACATTTATCGAGATTGATACGAATCTGCGTTTAATTATTCTTTTTCGATAACCGATAAAATGAAATTTTGCTCGACGATCACTGGAACTTTCCAAATTCCTTCGAATTCGCGATAAATCGATAGATAGAACGTATAACAATAACCTTTCCAACTACATATTGCCCGATTACATGGCGGAAGACTGTAGAAACAATTGTACATTTTCGTTTCTATCGGTCTTTTCGATTTGATCGATAACGCGTATCTGTAAAATACGCGACAGTAAACGGTTACGTGTACGATCGTATCTTCGATCATTGAAATTACATACTAAATAAAGTTCATTAAATCGACGATCTAAAGATAACGCGTATACACACACACATATTCGTGTATAATTATTATCATTGGTTATAAATTCCGTTGCTACATAGACACGAAATGCCAATACGATGAAACGCGTTACGATTCATCATTCTGTAAATTAACATGATCGATCGTGAAGATTACTGGAGACGTTACATGTACAGACTGTGCGTCTCCACGATAACAGATAACAGATCAATTGTTTTACCAACGAGTAAAATAAACAATGATCGTCATGGATTTTCGTAACGAAAAAAGAATCGCTTGTAACAGATACTTCCTATATCCGACTATATCCATCGACTATAATATCTGAAAAATTGATCATTCGAATAGACATTCGTGTTTGTCCTGACAGTAGATTATATCCAATAATATGTCCGCGTAAACTAAATATCGGCAAATCACGTAGATCGTTTAGCTGAAAAACGAGAAATTTGCATGATCGTTAACAGATTAGGTTGTTTTTTCTTGTCTAGACTACGTTTACCGAAATGTTTCGAACACTTATTCGCACTAACTTTTGGGTTTAGAATGATAATTATTCTTCTTGCCGTCATACGTGCAGGGTATTGTTTAGAGGGTTATATAACGTATATCGATCGTTTACGAAAGATCTTGATCATCGGGTACATCGGGTTTTCGGTTTATTTTCTTAAGCTGCAACGATTCGTACGAACACGAATACAAATAATATGTATATTACGTTTAACGTATAGATACAGATAAGTAAATTAGTTAAATAAACGATAGGGAGTGAACGACGTTGAACTTAGAAAAGAAAAATGCAAAAATGCAAATGTTTTCGAATTCGTTTCGATAATCGCGTCTCCTTTACGTGGAAGCAGTTGATCGGTTTGACGTAAATCACGCGTTGTCGCGGAAAAAGAAGGTAAATATCGGCGTGCGATCTACCGGTAACGTTGTACCACGGGAAAAGTGAACGATTGTCGATAGCGGGTACAGAGAGGGGATAAATTCGTGCAGCAGAGTTCAGGAACGATACGGAATACATAGTAGAGTACAGCCGGGCGTACGGCGCGAAACACGCGAAGAACGGTGTAACGCGAATGGTTAAAATGATAGGGTAACTCTCTCGACAATTGTCCTCGAAACAGTATTTCGATACGATCGATCGATATTCTCGATTAGAATTTTTTCCGTCGATCCTTTTACAACGCGTCGACCTTGTGACACTTCCTGTAACAGAAACACCTATCGCGACCGTCGAGTCGTCGGTTTATTTTTTATTTCGATTTATCTAGATTTTTCGCCTGGCGTGCAACACGTTCGAGCGCTTTCTATTTTTTACCTTGAGTCGGTAATTTCCGGTCGTGTTTTCTCGTTGCCGAGTACTCCTGACCATCCGAAACACGGGACAATAAGAAATTTTTATAGGTATTTTTCTACCCGACGGAATTATTGTCGATTCGCGAAGGATCAGTGAAAATTCGAGCATAATTCAGTGGGAATGCGCGAATCAGTGCAAACGTCCTGCATCGCGTCTCTGTGAAACCGAAGGGATCGGGGAGCAAGGAAAGCGGTACTAAAGGTTCGAGTAAGTTTCGACTTTGATCGAAATGCTTCGAATATTTTCTATCTTCTAATTATTTTCTACCTTATAATTATCGTACTAACTCGTTACTCGTAGAGCGATAAGCAAATTATGCTTATTTTGTTTCTGGATTTCCCTACATTTATACGCTTTCAAATTGTTTCGCGCTCGACAACCGAACGGCCTCGATAACTAATAAAATGAAATTTGCGAGTAACCAATATCCCGGGTTCTGCTAAAATCGGCCTGGTTAAATTTCTAAATTCACTCTGCAAACTTTCCAATTCTGATTTTTACAATAATCCTAATCGGCAAAGTTTCAATTTCGAAATTCAAACTGGCCCGATTTTCTACGACTTCACGCGAGAACGTGATCGAGTTACTACTACTCGAGAGGTCTTTGGCCGAATTCGTCCGATCTTATCCGACCCTACTCGATTCGAGCCTACAGCGTGGACACGCATTCGGTAATATTCGATAATATTCGATAATATTCGATAACTCGACCGCATCCCTAATGCGATTGAAATTTCGATATCGGTAAATCGATTTTTCATTCGCGAATATTTGATCGTTCGTTATTGTTTCGAGCGTCGTTGACTAAACGAAAAATGAAATTAATTGCTTGAGTGAAAGCAGTTTAAGCCAGGTTAAATTAGAACATACGAGGAAAAAAGTTGTTTTTGATGCAACGTACTCCTCGACGGGACCATTCTATCCCTCGTTCCTTTCATTTTTCTTTTTCACAGATCACCGATCACTTTGCGAAAGAACAAGTTACAGTCGATCCAAAGTTATAGCTATCGCGTTACGCAATGATTTCTACCTAAACGTATAGAGGCGCGAGTTGCATTTCTAATGAAAGCAAACACAGCATACTCTAGGGGGTATCGTGACATACATTTCACAATAAAATGGAAATTGCAGAAACCGATACCGGTTAGGCATAACAAGACGAGGTAAAAGCGACGTACATTGATCGATGATACGCATAAAATATCCACGAAGATTCGTCGAAGTTTTGTCGACCTTTCTCAACCAGGCGGAACCGGTTAAAAACATTATTTTAACTAATATCGTTTATATTATTGCATCTCGGTTAGTAGATACGCAAAAGGGTCCAAGAGTTTCTTCTCTTCGATCTGGTAATTGCTGTTTCAACCTAAATTTCACCGGCCGTTGCAACGCAATATTTTTCTTCGAGTCTTATCAAAACATTTCAGAAGTATGTCGCATTTCCATACGCGTTGCTTACCAATTTACGCTGTACCTACGTTTGCATACGTTTCACGAGCACAACGAGATTGCCTATACGATTTCCTAGGTAAAGACACAACCGCGATCACGAGTCGGCAGATAAAGAAATTGATAGGTGAAAAAGGTGAATAAATTTGTTGTCACCGTTCTAATCGTCGCTGAAGCGAAGCGCGTCGCGTCGCGTCGCGTCGCGTCGCGTCGCGTCGGATAAAGTGAATGGTAGACGAATGAAATATTTGTTTAATCGCACGGTGTATATTACTTTTCTTGTCGGTGTACGAAACAGGTAATAAATGAACGACCTACTTATCTTGGTATAACTTGGTATAACTTGGTATGATCGGTTCATGCGTTACGTACGTAAAAGAACACGCGTACAGAACCTTGTACGAGCGAATTTCGATCCTATTTTATCTCGTTATTCGACCGATTCGACCGGTTGCAGATAGAAATGAAATATCGATAGGAAAACGGTCGCGTACTATTAGATAAGCAATTAGGGTATACCGTAGAAAAATAACATAAGAAAATGTCTGCTTTCAAACAATTTTCATTACGTATAAAGATTTCTCGCCGTATAGAGAGACATTTTCGAAACATTTACGTATAAAGGAGGCGTGCATGGTCGAGGATATTCCGCGTATAAAGTTCTGCAGGAAATAAGGAAGGATCAAAGAAGGTCGATAACGTGCCGAAGGCAACATTTTCAAGGTACTGTCTCCACGATTCCGCGCTTCTATCCGACAAACGATAAACGATAAACGATAAACGATAAACGTTAAACGCGTTTGTTAGAACCGTTTATAGGATCGCCGATAATCGCTGTTTTTCTTTATCATTATATTTGACCACGCCGTTGAAAAACGGAAAGAAATTTTTGGTATTTTAATCGGAAAACGTTTAACAATCACAGGCTACGCAATTTCTAAGAACAGATCTTCCGTTTATTCGTATTTCTTCTTGCCGCAATTTCTACCTAGTTGTCGTTGGTTCACGGAACCGATCCATCAAACGAATTTTACTTACCGGAGGCTCTTCCTAACAAACTCGGACCGCAATAGACATTCTAAGAAGTAAAACGGCAGTAAAGACAAAATACAAAGAAGAAAAGATAAACGCGAGGAGATCTATAGTCTATATAGTAACGACAGCGCAGGCACGCGTAAACGACACGTACTCGCTGCCATTGGTAGCTAATAATCGGTTTCTCGTTTCGAACATTGGCAAATTTACGACTTCCAACATTCTCGAACTTTCGAAGCGGTCAAGCTCTCGGATTCCCGACTTTCCAAACAATTCTGTCGGAAATCCGAAACTTGGAGAAACGAGTTCGCGATGGGCCCATTTACGTTTCCGGATTCTTTTAACCGCTACAAGCGTTAGAAGATCGCTAACGTGGTTTTCGTATCGACTCGACTGTGGCACGACAGAGAATACGCATCGTACACGCGTGCGTTGCGTGTGTGTTAGACCGATAATCAACCGTGTGTCGCTACTTACAATTAGTTGCATTATTGTTAACGGTGTCATTGAAATTATCTTTGAAAAGGAAAAAAAAGAAATATACGTAGACGCGAACTCGTATCTCGTATTCCGACACACGTAATCGTTAGCGTTACCGCAATAAGAAAATCTTCAAGAAAAAGATAAATTCTAAATTTATAGAAAGATCAGCAGGAGAATGCCTCTTCTGTACGGTGTAAAGCTGTAAAGCGCAGGTTAACGAAATCGGACGGGAGTTTACGTGCTCTTCGGCGAGCACTCGATCTACCCATTACCGGTGCACAGCATACAATAACGATTTAATTAGTAGCTACTCGTATGCGATGTTCGACGAACATCACTTATCTCGTTGCCGGCTGTTCATTCATCTATTCTCGATCGAAAAGTTGAATAGGAACGCATAGATTAGTCCATCCACGTAGCTCACTGTAATTTCGCCACTTGACTCGCCAACAATTTTATTGTGCCGACTGTGTAATTCAAGTGCACGGTCACCGTAATCGTATGTTCAGTGTCGAACTACCTATTCGACGTCTCTTTTGACCGTATCTTCTTTCATCGTTTAACCTCATTAGTATTCTTTCCCTACGCCGTTCCATTCGTAGTCCGGCAACGTCTGATCACCTGTTCCTTTTCATTCACTTTTACGTTTTATGCGTTCCGCTTGCGCGCGAAAAAAAGAAAAAGGAGCGACGATCTTTCGGTCGATTAAAAAAGTATGTCCCTGTTCGTTACAGCGAACGGAGATTCTTATTTCACCGAGCCTCCAGTTTAAGGATAGAGCTTCCGTACTTGCCTGCCGCTAGCATTAACAGCAAAAGTCCGAAGTTATGACAACAACTAATGGTGAGTGTGCTCTAAACAGCTACTATCCTGTCCGCTTAATTATTTCTACATTCTACATAAGTATATCGAGCGAGATACGTTATTTGCATCCATTAAAGTATCGATAAAGATCGCGCCATGCATTATCCGTATAAATATGTAGGTATAGGTCGATCAAACAAAACGTAGAGACAATCGAACTGTTTGCAAACGACTGCTATCAAAGCACGTGTTCGATGAATGGCGTGGCGTTGCATCGTAACGACAATAATCGAGGCTCTAACAGCGAAACAGGGGTACATCGAAGGATCGTTATTTGCCGGTGATAAGAGCAAATTGGTTCTGCGCGTTCTTCGTCTTTACCGTTCCTATTCAATACGTACATAGAATTTTTAGTAGAGAGAAAAATACGTTCTTTTATTTTCCACCGGAGACACGGTCGTGCCTGTTGACTCGATAACGAGCAACAATTATCGCTACTCGATCGCGTAACGCTTGCGGAACAAGTTATCGATCGTTTTTAACGGAAATACGTTTTACCACGAAAATTCGCGAGAATCAGAGCAGTTTCATCCATCGAGACTTATTCTAACGAAGAAATTTCGTTGCAGCTCCTAAAGAATGCCCCAGCTGCATTTCTTCGAAGCCGTGAAACTGTGCTCCGTGTGAAAAATATTTCGCTACTTTGTATTTATCCAGCAATGTTCGATATCGAAGGATTTATCGAAGGATCGTAACTATTTGTCCTAAATAATTTACGACTAGATAAATAATTCCTGAACAGTTTCGTATTTACGATATCCTTCGTCGAATAAAAATCTACCCATTAAAATTCATTCGCGTCGAGCGAACGACTAATCGCGATATTTCCTGATTTTTTACCGTAATTTGCCTGACGATTATGACTCACGGTTGCCGTTACATAACTCGTCGAAATTAATTGATCGAAGGTGGAAAAACGTGCACGCGTGTGTACGCGCGTGTATTTGTTAGAAACAAAGAAACAAAGTTTAATTAATCAAAGGATAATTTTCTTCCGAATCAGGCCTGAAGAATGACCAATCGTCGGAAGTGTTGTGGCAGAAGATTCACACTGGTCAAGATGAAGATATGGTATGTTTAACTACAGTATTAGATTAAATAATGCAGATTTCGATTAATCGTATCTTTTACAGAGAGTTTATGGGTTCGAGAAGAACAAATTTAAAAGTGTTCTGGTTTACGTGTCGTACGTGTTGACGGCTGGTTGGGTCAGACTCTTTTTCCATTGGTACCCTCAGTTACACCTTTACGCGACTCACGACAAGTGTCCTTTGA